CAAGGTTATCCCACGGAAAAGTGACCGCACATCGCCCTCGTTCACCGAATCGTGCGTGATCTCCTCTCCAGTGGGAAAAAAAAGCGAAAAAAATGCCCTGTGTCATTTCAGTGGCTATGCGAATCGTTTATTCCGGGATATACTCGACTTTTTGGGGTATTTACATGGATAAATCGGTAAGCTATCTAATCCAAGAAAAAAAATCAAAATCCGATGATTTTTTTCAACCATTCGACAATATTTATTTATTTCTTTTTTTTAGTGAAAAAAATATGGAATTCAATTGAACATAAAATAATAAATGATACGATGCGTAAATTAAATATTTTTTAATTCACACATACACATTCTTTCTTTACATTATTTCCATTTCAATTGTAATTAAATAATCTTTATGTATATTAATTTTGAGTAATGAAACGACTTTTTCCTCATGCTTTTTGTTGTCTCAACATTGAATAAAAAATATCATATGAGTTTTCAGTTCTGCTATCATATTTATCTCCTTATATATATATATATTTTTATATATATACCTATATATACCTCGTTATGTTTTTCGTTGAGTCTTTAAAAGTCCAGTACTTCCGTACACGCATTGGAAAGATCAGGGACAAAGTACACTGAAGTCACCGAGAATATCCCATCATAACGAGCAAAATCTGCGGACCCCTTGAGAAGCAATGTAAAACAAATAAATAAATTGGAAAAAAAAAAGTATTCCAAAGAAATTGTTCGCCCGGTGGGCAATAAAAAAGAGGGAAAAATTGAAAGCACATTTAGTTCTGTACGTGGTAGGACGCGAGTGCAGGGAACCGATCAGTTTCGGGGATTTTTTTGCGAAATAACGGTGTTCGGTCGAGTGAGGTTAAAAAAAATGGGAAACATCTGTCAGTACTCGATGCCTATCGAACGGTTTGGCTCTCTCTTCTCTCTCTCTTTCCCTTTTCACATTTTCCATCCCTTTTTTTGATGCCCCTTCCCTCGGTCTCATATTTTTCCCCTGTGTCTCCGAAACGCGTTCTCGCGAGAACCGATGGAAAATCATGATGATAATAACAGGGAGAACCCATCAGGCGGTACGGGATATAAGGAAGCCATCGATGAGAGAGAAGGAAAGAAAAAATAAAAAACTATTAGTTCCGGTTCGGAAAGGGAACACGTGGGTGAGATTCAGTCTGAGGTCCGTCCAAGGGCGAAACACGGGAATCGCCTCACCATTTCTGGAATTATTTGACGTTCACATATGGGTCATTTCGTAAAGTCTAATTTATTATCCTTGGATAATTTAAATTCGAATAATCGAATTCGGGGGTGAAATGGGGATGCCAGTATTGGAGAACTAATGTTTTATGGGTTTTCATTAGATTCTTCTTTGAGAACTAATCGGTTATAAAATTTCTACGGTAAAAACTTAAGAAGATTTAAAAATTATTGCTACTAATAGTTAATATATTTAAATACTTTTTTCCAATCGCTTGGGACCAGTGAATCTAGTTGGCAGAAATATTTTTTTTTGTATCATCGGTAATAAACTTTTTATGGGACTGATTGGTTAGTCAATTGCACTTAATTGATCGTGATTACTGTGTGATTCATAAGTGACGCTGAGGGGAAATAAATAATAGAAATAAAAAAATTAAATAGAAAATTGCTAGATATTAATTCTAGTCACTTCAACTACGAATGTTTCAGTACATTTCTTTGAATTTCCGTCCACCCAGACCCATTACGATACAATTTATTGCTCTCTGCTCCAAATAACCGTCTATTTAATCGACCCTGTTTCTAATATATCAACAATCGACACGAGACACCTCAAAGAAATATTTCGAAACTAATATTTTGTTAACCTTCACAAACAGGTTCATCCTTTCATTATTAATTCATCAATTTATTTATTGTCCTGAATGGACATTTCGAAAAGTCGATTTTTCCCTTAAATTGTTTATGTCAAATAATTATAATAAAAAAAAATCTGACTATCCCAAGAAAACTGCCGTGAAAATATTAATAACCAAACATAAAAAATGATTAGAAATAAATTGATGTCACGTTGAATGGAAATACTGTTGGCACTTCTTCGAACTTCAAGATAAGATAAAAAAACATTTCATTCATTCGATTCTTCTCTGTCGTAAATGACAAATACAATTACCATACCAACTACGAATGAACCAATATTTAAAATGATTATAAATGAATTTGTTCTACAAAAACTGTAAATGTGTTATGGCATTTCATTGAATTGGAATAATTGCCCACAATTCATTACTCACTGATCCCAATAACCACAAACATTGATTACCATCCATGAGCTGTCAACCACCAGCCCCAAGACGTCCACCTGACGAATTACCATCGCACCTGGCCACACACCTCCTCACATACCGATAAATTCTTCCGGAGTCCCCAAAACTTGACATAAAGCATCAAAATGCTCATTAATCAGAGTTAAAAAATGTCAACCCACAAATACAAAAAAAAAATGTTTTCAACTTCTGGTGAGTTATTCCAAAAAATATAAAAAATAACAAAAAAAAAAATATCACGTTAATTAAAGAGATAAAAAGTGAAAAATAATCGAAACCAGAAGTTACAGGTTTCAGCAACGAGTAGAAAATTTGAAAATGTATTTTCTTGGATTCAATTGAGTGTAATTTTCAGAAAATTCTTCACTTTTTTTACTAGTGACGGGAGCGTACTTCATCTTGTCTCGTGTTTATCATGGATTTATCGTTCCGGAAGGAGTTCTCAGCTAAAAAAATTCACGAAGCAAACTCAAAGGCATCGAGGACTCTCAGATCGATGCGATTAGCGCGGTGTTGTCGGATTAAGAGGCCCCTCACTCCCCCGGCACCCCGGTGCCGTCTCTTTGTTTCATTTTTTTGCCGTTATGTTTTTTCAACATTTTTTTGGGGCCCAGGCCAATTTTCGGGTGTGCAAACACGGGCATTGTCGAGCGCACGCGCCCTCACGCCGATTTCCGCGCCGAGGGTGGCCCCATCCCCCTCTCTTTCACCGTAACCTTAACCAGTTATACCCTTTCACAGACTCACAGGATTTAAATATACCAAACGGTTTTTTCACTTGTTTTTTTTTTTTTTTACCCACAACCTTTCTCCTCTGTCTTCCTGGAGTTTAACCCCTTCTTGTTTCGCCCGCCGCGCCCACATAATTACCCGAGCAGTGGTAGGAATAAATGATGGCAAAAAAAAATTGCTAAACCGAGGGTTGCAGTGACAAAAAAATATTATTTCCACAAACTCAAGCGTAAAAAATACGATATCGCAATTAGACAGCCACGATCCTACAAATCGCTGGGGCAGAGGGGGGTATTCACCTCCCTTAAGGGGTGAAACTAAAGGGTGAGATATGGGTGGCACCCCAACGCCTGCTACTCCACCGATACACACGAGAGACCGGTTTTTAGTTGTTGTTACCATTTTTTTTTTCTTTCCAATTTTTTTACCCGCATACGCCACAGTGTAACCAGCATAACAATTTAATGCAGATAGAGGATCATAATGAGGCGACTAGGGGCGATAAAAAAAATTATAAAAAAAAAGGGTGAAAAAAAAACACGAGCGCGGTAATTAATTAATCGCGCACTCCCTCAGCTCACTCGGTTTGTTGGTTCAACGTCCCTTGATTAACTCACTATTAATCTCGCGATAAAATAACGTGTTTACGGGAATTAAATAATTACAGAGCAGGTGTAGATCATGAATAATTCAAGCGATAATTTGGTTGGAAAGAAGTAGGTGAGGCAAATGTATTCCATTAATTCAGTATCAACATCTTAAATTGCTTGCGCAGGCGAGTTGAATAATTAAGAGGAAATTGCGGTCTAGAGGAGAAAAAACGGAAAGTTCGGGGAGGTGGAAATTAAGGAATTGTGGAGCCGCGTCCAGAGGTGTGTAGGGAATTTTTAAGAGTAAAAAAGTGCCGAGGCTCCTGGATATTGCAATTAAATGTCCGTGGCTTACAAATTGGGGGTTGAATTTTTTAGGCTGATGGCGAGGGGCGCCTGGGCGGCATAAAAACCCGCACCATAAGAGTCTCTCTCTCTCTTTCCTTTTTCTTCTACTGGGATGTGCCAAGGGGTGCCTTTCGGTTTGAAAAAAAATCCATAAGGGTCTACTTTGCTTTCAAAGAGGGGCTGGTCGCAGGGGAAAGAGGGGTGGTACAGAGGGGTGGAGGTGTAAAGGGGGTGAGGGTTGCGAAAAAGGCCGAAGGGGGTGGTACTCCGTGCCAAAGACAAAATAAAAGCCAGCGACATGCGACTGAGTGGAAATAAACATGGCGGAAATTCCTCAAATCCAACCCTCAAGAAACTTAAGATGAAATTCCAAGCGGATTATTAGCATAATTAATTAATCATTCACAGAATTTGCATTTTTGCATTTTCCATGGGTTGAATTATGCTGATGAATTGTGAAAAGTTATCGCGGAATGACTCTCGGTTGTTGAAATAGTTAAGAATAGTTGGGATGGGAGAGAATGCCTTTGGTTCTTGAATAACGTATTTATTATGCGGGGAAAAATGCATGGACCGCGCCCATCGTGTATAATGAAACTTTACCGTGGTCTCGGAGAAGTTCCTTCATCTCAGACGACCAACTTTCCTTCACCTTCTTCACCTCCTCCCGCCATTCGGGTAGTTCAATCGATATTTAAAGAATTGCGCGTTAATAAGGGAGTTGATAAGGCATCTTTTGAATTTAGCCAATCCACCTGGCCACGGACTATCAAATGACCACTGCGGACCTCTTCAAATGTTACCGTTGGACAAGAATTCCCTTGGGGTCGTATGGTACATCATTTCTGGAATTCTACTGCCCAGAGGTTGATAATTCAGGTAATGGGTGTTGGCAAGACAGTCCCATTTTCTAAACTTTCGATATTTTACTATCATATTCTTTAATTATTATTAGTATTTTTTAATCATATTTTTAATTGTTTTTGGGAGAGGGAAATTACCCTTTTCATTAATGACGATAATTTCCTCCATACCGACGGTCTTGATCGACCGTAATGGTAGTATTGCAGACAATTTCAGTATCTTTGATTTGAAAAGCGTTCTAACCTGAAACAAACAGTGTAAACATTTGTTAATAATCGGAGGGCTCTACTGCAAGGTGGAAAATGTCTGCGAAACAGAAAATATTACTTAGTGGGGACGTTGAGGGCAGATTCAACAATCTCTTTTCCAAAGTTGAGCAAATAAACAAAAAGAACGGTCCCTTCGAGTTTCTCCTGTGCGTTGGAAATTTCTTTGGAGTAAACAACATCGAATTGGATCCATACAAGCATGGATCAAAGATTATTCCAGTGCCAACACTCATAATCGGCCCTAACAGAGCTGATGACGTTGGAAATTATCCTGATCTGGATGGAGCAGAGATCTGTCAGAATTTGACCTATCTGGGGAAACGTGGGCTGTACAGTGCTGGTTCAGGGCTGAAGATTGCATATATCAGCGGTGTCCAGACACTTCAGGAGTCATCGACAGTAGAAGCGATTAATTTTACGGAGAGCGATGTGATTTCTGTCAGGAACTCCTGCCTCAAAGGCCAGCCGAGCTTCAGAGGAATTGACATTTTACTGACTTCCCAGTGGCCTACTGATGTTACCAAATTTGATCCTAAAGATCCCAAATTCAATTATAAGGGTTCTGAGCTGGTGGCCTGGTTAGCAGCTCAGATAAAACCTAGATATCATGTTTGTGGACTAGAAGGAATTCATTACGAACGTCCACCATATAGAAATAAAAGCAAAGGTGGTGACAGCATCGAAATTGCCTCGAGATTCATAGCCTTGGCGAGGGTAGGGAACCCTGAAAAATTAAAATGGCTGTACGCCCTGAATCTCACTCCAGTGGATCGAACTCGACTGATGGATCTCGCCACGAAAACTACTGACGAAACCCCAAGTCCGTATCCAGCGTCAAATTTGAACTCTGATCCAGGCAGCACAAACCCCAAGGACACTAAAAAACAGTTCTTCTACGACATGCAACCTGTGGGCGAAGGAAAGAGACGATCGAACCAATCAGATAAGTACCAAAAGAAATCTAAATGCGTTTTCAATCAGGACAAATGTTGGTTTTGCCTGTCCAGTCCTTCAGTGGAAAAACATCTCGTAATATCTGTTGGAAGTGAAGTTTACGTGGCTTTGGCTAAAGGGGGTCTCGTGGACGATCACCTGTTGATTTTGCCGATCAGTCATCACCAAAGTTTCTCCATTATACCTGAGAATGTTGAGAAGCAAATGGAACTGTATAAAAAAGCGATTGCTAGGTACTACGCTGGCACTGGACGAGTGCCTGTGTTTTTCGAGAGGAATTACAAGAGCTCCCACTGTCAATTGCAGGCTGTACCTGTTGCTGAAGAGGTTGCTTCTGAGTTATTTGGAGTTTTCCAGGTAATGCAATATTTGATAGTCTTCAATGAAATGGAACCTGGACGAATGAAATCAGTAATTCATTTTTCAATGTTAGAATCTTATTCATTTGCTAATGAGTCGCAAATCGCGCTCAATCGATCAATTCATTCCTGAGGTGTTAATATTTCACAAATGTCTCAAGTACTCACATTGTCACCTCTACTTATCGTTTTTAATAAACTCATTTCAATTTGATAAATTCCGCTCCAGGACGTAGCCGATGATCATGGTGTAGAGCTTAGTCAAATCCCAAATCACTCTAAACTTCGCCAAATAGCTCCACCTGGTGCAACGTACTTCTACGTTGAGCTTCCCAATGGAGTTCTTCTCTACACAAGGATTTCCAAGGATTTTCCTCTACAATTCGGCCGAGAGGCGCTGGCCAATGATAAGATTCTAAATCTGAGGCACAAGGTGGACTGGAAGGACTGTCAAATTAGCAAAGAAGAGGAGATAGATCTCGCAAAGACCATCAGAAAAAAATTTCAACCATATGACATAGACACGTGATTCATCTAACTTTTTTTACTGACAATGTTGTACCATATAAAAAATAAAGATATCGTGGAGTGTTTTGTATTCTGTTAAAACTCATTATTTGCTGGCACTTTGGAATTTGAGTTCGTACTCCTCGGGTTTTAAAGAAGGATTGATCCCCGCCTTCTTCATTTGCACTGCGATATCGAACAGGTAGTCATAGCACTCGTTCCTGTACAAGGAAGTTCCATTTTTCCATTAGTTTTCGATGTGTGCATCTCTGAAATTTTTGTAAGGACTTACATTGTTTTTGCCTGCTGCCAGGTGTCCCCCCAGACGTAAACTCCGTGTCTTCTCACTAGAATTGCACATGTCTCCGGATATTGTTCCATTACCTCTGCCATTCTGTCCTTAAGGTCCTGCTCGAATGGAGTGTTCTCAATTATGGGAACAACTAGTTCCTCGTCGTATCGATAGGCTCTTCCCAATTTTTGATTTCTTATTCCTGTCGGGAAAAAAGGGCATAACAAAGTCGTGGGAATTCTGTGATATAGTGAACGATTCCACTCATACATTAAATAATAATTGATGAAATTTGACGTTTTTTTGGAGGGAAATTCACAGACCTTTAATCATCTCTAAGTGAGTGACTCGAAATTCTTTGCCAGGCCACAAAAGGGTTGCCATAACAGCGAATTTTGAGTGAGTGTGAATTACAGCCCCAGCATTGCGGGATGTGTAAGCACACATGAAAAGTGGAGTGCACTGTGATTTTTTGAATTTTTTTTCAGGTGGTGGGGCAGCTATGTCCTTTCCGTTTATGTCTTGGACGAACATATCTTCGGGTTTTATTCTTTCCTTTTGGACCCCCGATGGAGCGATATAGATTTCGTCTCTGAAAATGATATTCATTGAAATAAATAAAGAATCGGATAGAATCTCCAAAAGAAAAAATTAGAGGATCTCTCTCGTATTCAACTCATTTTCATCTTTGGAGATATTAAACTCGTAAATTGACAACAATATAGTAACGTCGATACCCATGTTTTATGGAAATGCCTCCACCAGTTCCAGTAACCCACTGTAAATCGTAGAATTGTCGACATAATTCAGGAATCAAATTCCTTGGGTGCTCCTGTGGAAAAATGAGTAGATCCCAATTCAACTAATGATTCGAATTCGTTGATAAGGAAATTGGTATTAACCATTTACAAATTTATGCATCACCTTGGGATAATTATAATCGTAATATTCCATGCCTTAGATGATGAAGACCGGCGAATCTTCACAAAAATTTCACAAAGTGCGTTTCACTTTTTGGTACTTATCTCTAAAGTTTTTGACATATTTACAACAGTCATGAGATAATTTCAATCCCTAATGTGTGTGAATGAAACTAATTTTACGCATGCGCATTTGAATAATTGGGGTTATCGCGTACTCATAGAGTACGAATTTCAATTCAATGTTATTTTTTTCACTGGAGAAATTTTTTATGATAGCAAAGTTCAGGTATATTATAATTGAAGTAAATTTTGTATAATATTAGTGAATAGTTCATTTTTAAAAAATCATTAAATATTCAGGACCGAGAAAAACAGCTCCATAAATGTAATAAAAATCTTTTCTGACGATTGTGAGTTTACGATCGAAGGCGAAGCCGAGGAATGCAAATAATCATTTGAAAAGATTCTTAACAATTTTGAAATTTTGAATTCCTAACGGCCTAGTGATGAAATATACTAGAATGATTGTGGAAAGAAAACATAAGTTCTTTGACAATGAAATTCTTTTCAAATATTTATTTAAGATCGTACAAAATTCGACAATTCTTGATGTTTAAAAATGAAACACAGGCAATTATATAAATACATTTACGTGTAAGTAAACATCGCATCATAGGCTCGCACGATTGTTACTAATTGGCACAGTCCAAGAAATAAAATTAATTCCACATACGTCCTACAATCTTTGCGTTTCTCTTTGCTTTAAATATTCCCATAGACCTAATTCCTCCATGCATGAGGACACGAAACTCCTAGGATGTGCTTAAAACTGTCATCAATAAACTTCATCGCATGATAAAGGAAAAATTAACGAGTTTTATACAAAAATTGCGGTAATGAACGAATTCTCATTCTTAGATGAAGCCCAAGTGCCCATTATTGCAAGTAGTGTAAGAGAAATTTGCGTAAAGCCTCAATATCACTGTACATTATTTCCTTTTTCTTTAATGAGGCGGAGAAATGAATAAATGTGCTCTGAATTATTAAATCCTAATCGTCTTCAAAGTGGAAATCATCTTGATCTCCACGACTTTATACCATAATAATCCCCGAATACTCTATACTCTCCTCTGTGTTTGTTTTGTTTTCTTTTTTCACAAATTGCGACAGTACAAGGCCTCAAACATTTTGGTAGATGATGATAACTAATGGTTCATATTTTTCTCAATTGATCCATGTTATCTATTTTGGGTATCAATTAAATTTCTCGTGTTCAACTCTTCAGCTGCACTGATCGAAGTGATTTATCGAAAAATGATTCTTCATGGATTACCTTATTTTTAAGTCACACGAAAAAAAATCCTTTAAGAAATATCATTTGTCTGCTATTTTCTTTGTATGAGTTTTCATTTTTACAGTCATCGCTTTATCACATTGTGGTTCTCTTCCATTTTTGTTAAAGATTATTTTGCCTCTCATTTTAATTTCAATTATTCGTAAATCTCAAAGGATTTCGTCGATTTATAGTTAATTTATAATTACGAATTGGTCGTATTTATTTTACACAGACGCAACTTCGTCTCGATGGAGAAAAATATTGAAATTTGAACTTTATTTTTTTTTTCTTTATCGTGCTTGTGAATAAGTTTATCTCCCCCTAATCTGAAAAAAAAAATTCCTTGCCATTAACTAATTAGGTCCACAAGCACACGTGTAGCCAACAAATAATTATGCGAAATTCTCTATGAAAAGTTATTACATAGACTAAAATACCACGAAGAGACTCAATTCACTCAGTATTCTTATTAATAATCAATACAGCACACCAACTATCCTTCAAACTTATACCAATGAAAAACCAGCTTATCAATGTCAATAAGTGAATATCTAATAAATTTTTATAACTTTTCTTGTTTACTGCATAAAACACGCACACATATCACAAGTTTGGGCCACATTTCTAAATTTAAAATTACACTGTACCAAACCCCCATAATTTCTCCTGTTCCAAATAAGAAACCACGAAATGTCAACCTTCGACTATAAATGATTAAGAATTCACCAATCAATTTAAAAAATTGCAACCCAGAAAAATTTCGAAATCCGCACGCGCCTTTGACCCACTATAATTCACAATGTAAACCATACATTGACTATTAAACTTTAAAAAAATTAATCAAATCCCTCATAAATATTCACCGTACACTCCACGGACAATGAACATTAAAATCCAAAAGGAGTACGGGCACCGAGATGGGAAGCACACGAGATCATAATCAAAGGGATAAAGAAGGATGATAAAAATACGCGAAAAAAAATCAATTCAGTTGGAAGAGTTGAAGGGTAACAAATCCATTCAATAAAAACATAAGTTTTCGTTGAACATATCAGAATTTACGAGAACTAGTGAAATTTTTATAAAAACTTTATTTTTATTGTTCGTTCTACTTGCCAAAAATGTATCGAAAAAAATTCAGTTAGCTCTCTATAACTGATAGAATACCCGCGAAAACTCCACTAGGGAATAAATTAACTTGTTACCCTTTACCGTTTGACTATAGAATCCCACTGAATTTTCAAAAAACCCTAGAAACGTATATTAATCCTTATTCGTTATTGAGTCCTTGATAATATCATCCTTGGTAATATTTTGATTCATCTGATCATTCTCGTATTCCACGAAATCATCAAATAAACTTGGCCAAGCCTCGGCGTCATCATAGGATCCCAGATCACTGCCAATGACTTCAGCAAAATTCAAAAACATATTCCACGTATCCCTTGGTATACCCCTGACATGATGATTCTCAAGGAATGCCAGCCACCTGGACAAAAGTGGTGGTTCACGTATCGTAAACACGAGCCTCCACAGGACAATAGCCATGTCAACTGGTAAAATTCTCTGGCCCGACGTCACATCGAGACCAAAACGGAATGTAAATCGGTAAAGATCCTTGAATAAATCTCCATTAACTGTCAGCTCTTGGACAACTTCCGGCAAACGTAACTGTACACCACGTATACTGTCAACTTTCAATAATTTAAGTCCATTAACAAATTCTTGTCTTGTAAATTGACACATCTGTTCTGCATCGAGTTTCCAAGCTAATACGAGAACTTTGAAGTCATCGGGTGATAATTGAAGGTCATCGCACAGCCTTTCAATACCGTCCTCCAGTATAATGTCCTCGTGAGGATCCTATTAACATAATTGAGCAAGTCATTAAAAAAATTGCATGAAAGATCAAAGATGGGCTATTTATTCCAAGAATCTCAGCAATCATTAGGAATTCGATTCGCGAACATGTGCAAGAGATAAGCAGAGATACTACTGTATCTTGTATTTTGTACAAAATGCGTATTTTTTATCGAGTATTGGAGATCATGGATAAAAATATTCAATAAAAAGCAAACTCATAGCTCAGTATTTTCGGAGACAGAAGCAGATTATCGGCATAGCGATAATAAGCTGCATGATTTCGTGAATTCGTGAAAGTAAAAAATTCCCAATAGATAAGAAGGGGTGAGTCAACTCTTCTCATTTGATTATATTCTGATAAAGTCGAGAGCCTTCATTACTTTGTATTGATCAAATAGTCCATTCAATTTAGCATCCGACAGCTCTCTCATCTGTTTATCACAATCAGCATTAGTATTGCCGCTGTTGAAAGTTGTGGAGCGTCCGAGTGGCGGTAGTCTAGCATAAAATGCCTTGGATAAACGTAAATTATTCTGTACAACTTGGACTGAACCACAATTGTCCGATCCCACATTGTTTAATCCTGATAAATTCGTTGCTGGTGACTTTTTATTTCCATTAGCACGTGAATCAATGGACGTCAGGGGACCCATTGTGTATTGATGAGATGGAAATAGTCTCCGCATTTCCATAGTGTCTGGAATATAATTCATGATATTGAAAATGGTCGGTTACATTTTTTATACAGATTTATCCATTATTTGTACTTTTCAAACAATTTCCTCTATTATCTTCAAGTTTATATGGAGAAGATAGGGCTGTAAAAAATTAAGGAAATTTAATTTCTCACCCTCTTTGATCTCCGGCACAGCGGACTGATCCGTAGTGGGCGACGGAGGCGGCACTTTGAAACACGAGCAGCAATTTCCCATTGATGACACACGTTCGTTACCAATTGGGTTAACCGTTGCATCGGTGATTCAGTCTTTAATTGGCAGTTTTGGTCAAAAACTGAAAGATAAGAGGTGATTAGATTTTTCCAAAATACTCCTACGCGTTAGGGCAGTTATCTCGTTCATCAACATTGATTAAATCTGTTTATTATGTTTTTATTGAAGCGTTAGTTAAAATTCTGATGCTGTAAGTATCATTTTTCACTGTAAAATTGTCATTCAATTTTTCATTTCTTAACGTTCTAAAATATTAGAAAATATTATTCAATTTAAAAAAATGCAAATTTAGCTGTATACGCTGTTTTTTTTAAAACTCAATGGTCAATTTACCACTTTACATAAAAAATTCAATGTTTACCTCATTTTTAAAACAATAATCTGATTTTTCGTGGTGTGGGTAGCCCCCGACGAGGCTCTCCGCACGAAAATCCACGTAATGGTCTGCATCAATGCAATAAACAGAGCGTCAAGTCCTTATCACTAAATAAAATCAAGTTTACTTGGTTAACTGGGAGCCCGCCCCTATCAATATCCACTGCCGAGAGAACAATGAGAAATTAGAACGAAGACAAATATCATGGGTTAGGTCAAGACGTTGAAAAATGTTCACACTGATGCCACATTATATCGTGAAAACACCTCTGGACCGTTCTCCGACGAGGGAATCGTGGCTCCTGTCATTTCAACACTATGACCCTGCCCTCTTGTGAATTTGTGATTCAGTTGTCAGCCGAGAGCTACGTAATGGACACAACGTCCGTGAGAATAATGTATTGTTACCGAAAATATCCAAGATTCTCTATCTTTGTTCCCACTCTGTATACACATTTATTTCTCCACTCTAAGCTGGACACACAGTTGTTTTCCTCCAAGGGTTCTGGAGACTCCGCACGACTAAAGCGCCACCAACAGCAATTAAATCTAGGCCAAAAAAGTGAAATTTTATTAATTTGTAATTATTCAATGAGACATTAGCAAATGGTATGAAATGAACTTCAATCATCGTCAAATGATCAGCTATCGATCCGATATCTTTCATCCTAGGAATCAAATATAGGTTGGTTAAGGCTAATTTTCCCTAGTTCCAGTGCAAAGACCAAAGAGGATTGACGAAAATAGAGGCTCAGTTCTGGGGGTTCGAGTGACCTCAGCGGCATCGTAGTACTGCACCCCAAGAGAGGGAGGGCACCACACGCAATGGGGGTGTCTAAGACAAGTTCTCTCAGGCGGTGGTCACTATCACCTTCCCCTCATCTCCATGTCATCCCCACTCTGCAGCTGTTCGGCACTGGTAGGACTATTTAAAAAATGATGATTTAAAATAACAGGAAAAAATGTAAAATATGGCCTTGGTTTATGGGATGTGTGGTATCTACATGACCTCAAAGTTTCAAAAATAGAATAAACTACAGAAGCATTACCCAGTCTCCAAAAATCAGGCAATAAAAATAAATAAATTGATTCCTCTTATTTTTTATTAAAAAATAACAGCGACTTACAGTTGATGCAGCAGTTTTCGCAAACGAACCGGCACTCCAGCTGACGGGATTAGAAAACAGAACATAATTCAATGCATCTGATACTCCAATTCCCGTTTTAGAGATACAATCGAAGTGTTTTTGATGGTCAAGACCAAAATCCACACGCTAAATTCTCTTCAATCAATTATTTTTACTGACTATTGGATTTTACGTGATTGCACTGTTTTTTTTAAAAGAGAATTATTTATTTGGTTAAGAATTTTCGCAATTATCGTATCTCGTCAAATTGAGACTGCCCGCGGTGTTCCGTGCGCATCGACGGTGTGCGTGCGTATGCACGGAGTATCGCCTGGCGACCCCCACTCGAGCGGTCTTCTGTGCGCATGCA